GGTGGGGCTGTGGAGTTTAGCCTCTCACTTTATCAGTTAGGCCAACGATGACTCAGCTTCAGCCAGTCGTTGCCTGTGAGGATATGGGCCAAATTTGGTCAGATATTGATCAAAAGAAGCTGGAGCTTTGTGCGAGGCAGCAGTTTAGGTGTTTACCTATGCCGCCATCTTGGTTTCTCCTCAAGAAGCTGGAGCTCTGAATTTTTTTTTGAAATTTTTTTTTATTTTCTTCTTCTTTTTTTAATATATTTTATTGATTTTTAACAGAGAGAAAGGGAGAGAGAGAGCTAGAAATGTCGATGAGAGAGAAACATCGACCAGCCGCTCCTGCACACCCCCTACTGGGTATGTGCCTGCAACCAAGGCACATGCCCTTGACCGGAATCGAACCCTGGATCTTTCAGTCCGCGGACCGACGCTCTACCACTGAGCCAAACCAGCTTTGGCTGGAGCTTTGAATTTTTATATGAAATCCATTGGCTGAGAAATTGTATTGTTTTAAATTCTATTTAGATGAAATATCCGGGATAGGCAAATCCATAGAGACAAAAATGTAGATTGTAGGGGTTGGGAGTGGGGGTGGGGGTGAGGTGGGGGAGGAATGGGGCGTGACTGCTCACTGGGCACAGAGTTCCTTTTTGGGGTGACGAAAATGTTTTGGAACTAGATAAAGGTGGTGGTTGCACAACATTGTAAATAAATTAAATGCTGCCGAAACCGGTTTGGCTCAATGGATAGAGCGTGAGCTTGGGGACTGAAGGGTCCCGGGTTCGATTCTGGTCAAGGGCATGTACCTTGGTTGCGGGCACATCCCCAGTAGGGGGTGTGCAAGAGGCAGCTGATCGATGTTTCTCATCGACGTTTCTAGCTCTCTATCTCTCTCCCTTCCTCTCTGTAAAAAATCAATAAAATATATATTTTTTAAAAATAAATTAATTAATTAAATGCCACCGAATTGTTCACTTTAAACAAATGGTTAATTTTATGTTGCCTAACTCTCATCTCAATTTTCAAAGCTGGACTGGCTTTAAAATGTTCTTCATGATTTTGTGTGTATTTTGAAGTTAAGTAGTAGTATTTCTACTCAAAATTAATAACATGAAAAAGCACAAAAAGCACACAACTACGAGTTTTCCACAAAACGAACGTACTTTGTTTAACTAGCTCAGATCGGTGTTTTATTTTATTCTCATTTTGAACATATTTTATTGATTTTTTTTTTTTTTTTTTTTTTTACAGAGAGGAAGGGAGAGGGATAGAGAGTTAGAAACAATGATGAGAGAACATCATCAATCAGCTGCCTCCTGCACAGCCCCTACTGGGGATGTGCCTGCAACCAAGGTACATGCCCTTGACCGGAATCGAACCCAGGGCCTTGTCTGGGTCTGAAATGGAAATGAGCAAGAGATGGGTGTTTGGAAGAGGCAAACATCAGTTCTTTGAGATGTTGGCAGCTTTGTGAAACAAAGGCTTGGTGGGTCATCTGTCCCCCACCCCTGGCCCCCTCACAGGTAAGATGAACCCCAGAACAGCTAGAATGGGGAAAGAGCAAGGATTGTTCTCTTAGCCTGGCCCTCAGAATCCTGTTAAACGCTGGCTCAGTCCAACATTTGAAGATAAGCCTCAGCCGGCATCCTCTGAGTCCTCAGTGGGTGGGCACACAGATAAACACGTGCATTTACAGTGCCAGGAGGAGAGGCCAGCTTTGGGCGGGAGGGGAACGATGACCAGGGGAGTCGTGTTTGTGCTGGGTCTTGAAGGAGGAGCTGACCTCAGCCCAGCCTGAGATGAGGCCCCAGAGGAAGGAGGAGCAGGTGCTAAGACCCGGTGCTGAAAGAGACGAAGCAATAAATGTGCCAGGAACTTCTAGAGCAGTGGTTCTCAACCTTCCTAATGCCACAACCCTTTATTTTTTTTAAATTGTTTTTTAAAATATATTTTATTGATTTTTTACAGAGAGGAAGAGAGAGGGAGAGAGAGTTAGAAACATCGATGAGAGAGAAACATCGATTCAGCTGCCTCTTGCACACCCCCTACTGGGATGTGCCCGTAACCAAGGCACATGCCCTTGACTGGAATAGAACCTGGGATCTTTTAGTCCCCAGGCCAATGCTCTATCCACTGAGCCAAACCGGTTTCGGCTGCCTCGGCCCTTTGATACAGCTCCTCATGTTGTGGTGACCCCCAACCATAAAATTGTTTTTGTTGCTACTTCATAACTATAATTTTTAAAAATATATATATATTATTGATTTTTTTACAGAGAGGAAGGGAGAGAAATAGAGAACTAGAAACATCGATGAGAGAGAAACATCGACCAGCTGCCTCTTGCACACCCCCTACTGGAGATGTGCCCGCAACCAATGCACATGCCCTTGACTGGAATCGAACCTGGGACCCTTCAGTCCGCGGTCTGATGCTCTACCACTGAGCCAAACCGGCTTCTGCCATAAATGTAATTTTTAAAAATATATATATTTTATTGATCTTATACAGAGAAGAAGGGAGAGAGATAGAGAGTTAGAAACATCGATGAGAGAGAATCATTGATGAGCTGCCTCCTGCACACCCCTCAGTGGGGATGTGCCCGCAACCAAGATACATGCCCTTGACCGGAATCAAACCCGGGACCCTTCAGTCCCCAAGCCGACGCTCTATCCATTGAGCCAAACCGGTCCCGGCCATAACTGTAATTTTGCTGCTGTTATGAATTGTAATGTAAATATCTGTTTTCCCATGGACTTAGGCTCTACAGCAGCGGTTCTCAACCCACCGGTCTCCACCACAGGAGAGCCGCTGCTGTAGAGCCTGAGCCCATCGGAAAACGCAGATATGTACATTATGATTCATAAGGTAAAGGAGCCGGATGAAATACAGGGAGGGACTCGGAGAGACAAACAGGACACCCCGCACGGGGTGGATTCTAGGGGGTTGCCTAGCACGCGGGAGTATTTCACAAGGCTGACCTTCTGGGAGAGTTCAGGCCGGTTGTTCTGAAGAATGTCCCTTGGTTAGGATTGGAGTGTTTGTTTGCCGTGACCGAATTCAGGGTAAACATGTTTGAGTACCACATAGTGATGGTGTGTCCTTTTTGGTGTGGATGGGCTGTCCCGGGCTCTGGTACACCTTTCAGGGCAAGGCTGGGCTCTTCGGGGCTGGCTCTGGCTATGGGGAAGGAGGTTGGGGTCTTAGGGGCCAGTCTCTGGCTTTAGGGGCCGGTCTCGGCTCTTCAGAACTAGTGTCAGCCCTAAGGGAGTAGATTCAGCTGTTAGTTCTTGGCTGGGCTATTCCGGGTTAGGCTACACCTTTCAGGGCAAAACATTAGGGGCACACGTTACGAAATTAAGTTCTGTCAGTTTGCTTTAGGCTGGGCTGAAATTCGGGCTGCTGGCTTTGCTACTTGGGCAAGTTGGTTATTGAGATGGTGTTGTCTGCTGTCAAGTGAGGGTAGTAACAATCCTGGCTTCAAGAGGTTGTTTATATGTAAGGCACTTAAAACAGTGTCTGGCACATTGTAACTATTTGATAAATTGTAAGTATTAATGTATTATCAATACTATAAAAATAGTAAAACCCAAACTTTATAGAGCTCTACTATCTGACAGGCATTGAGCCCAGCACTCAATTCTTTTTTTTTTTTTTTTTTAAATATATTTTATTGATTTTTCACGGAGAGGAAGAGAGAGGGACAGAGAGTCAGAAACATCGATGAGAGAGAATCATTGATCAGCTGCCTCTTGCACACCCCCCACTGGGGATGGGCCTGCAACCAAGGTACATGCCCTTGACTTGAACCCAGGACCATTCAGTCCACAGGCCGACGCTCTATCTACTGAGCCAAACTGGTTTCGGCAGCACTCAATTCTTTACCCATCCAGCACCCAGGACAAAGTATGACACAAAGGAGGCATTCAATAAATATTTGTTGGCAAAGTGTCATCTCTATGAGATGGATTTCTATTGATACACCTATGAGAAAGCTGAGGCTCAGAGAAGTGAAGTAATTTACTCAAGATCACTACATTGTCGTAAGTGGCAAGAGCTGTGAATTTGAACACAGCCTTGTAGGCTTTATAAAAATTGAGGGATAGGAATAAGAATATGTTTTGTAGCCCTGACCCATTTGGCTCAGTGGATAGAGCCTCTGCCTGCGGACTGAAGGGTCCTGGATTTGATTCCAGTCAAGGGCATATACCTTGGTTGTGGGCACATCCCCACTTGGGGGTATGCAGGAGGCAGCTGATTGGTGTGTCTCTCTCATTGATGCTTCTATCTCTCCCTTTCCCTTCCTCTCCGTAAAAAACAAACAAAAAACTAACAAAAAACAAACAAAAAAACAATAAAATATATATAAAAAAGAAACGAATGTTTTGTAAACCCTCCAACACGCGTAGATGTGAAGAGCTGGATTCGAGCACCAAGCACGGTGCTCTCACAGTGCACCCAGTAGGCGCTCAATAAATGTTAATTGAATGAATGAGGACAGAAAATGCGTCAGCTAGCCCGGCAGGTGTGGCTCGTGGTTGAGTGTGGACCCAGGAACTAAGAGGTCACGGTTGGATTCCTGGTCAGGGCACAAACCTGGGTGTGGGCTTGAATCCCAGTAGTGGGGCGTGAAGGAGGCAGCAGATTGATGATGTTTCTCACTTATTGATGTTTCTACCTCTCTATTCGTCTCCCTTCCTCTCTGTCTAAAAATCAATTTTAAAAAAAGTCCCCTAGAGAGAGATAAACTAACTTGATTTGACCTTAGCTGTGGGATCCAGGGAACCATTCCTTCGCACACTGTGCCAAGTGGAGGCACCATAAGACCGCTGGTTCCAGCGGGGCGTGGCATCAGGCGGCCCCGCCCACCAACGAAATCACGTCCCTTGCTCCTCCCGGCGCTCGCGGACGGATCGGCCGCGGTGTTTTGGCCCTCGGGTGGAGCCGTAGCCAGAGTCTTCTCGGGGGTCCGCAACCGGAAGCCGGGTGCCCAGAATCCCGGCTGGAGGTCCAAGATGTCGGAGAAAGAAGGCGAGTCGAGCCGGGGCTCCCCGCAGGCCGGCGCGGTGACGGTCAGCGATGTCCAGGAGCTGATACGGCGCAAGGAGGAGATCGAAGCGCAGATCAAGGCCAACTATGGCGTCCTGGAGAGCGTGAGTGTGGGCGCGGGGCTCCCGGGCGGCGTGGGGGCGCCCCGACGCCTCCGGCCCCGGCCCCACCCCCTGGACCCGGGGGGCTGGGAGGCCCTCGGCGCCGCAACTGCGGCCTCTGTCGGTGGCAGAGAGGCTCCTAACGCTGAGAACCAAGTGGCGTGGGTATCCTAGCAAGTGTGTACGAGCCCTTACTCCGTGCGGGGCGTGGTTTTACCCGTGAGCTCATTCCTCATTTCATCCTCGCAGCAAGCCTGTGAGGTGAGCTCTGTTATTTCGCCCATTTTAGGGATGAGGAAACTGAAGCGTTGCTTACCCTTGACCAGCCTCCCGTCACAGAGCTACAAGTTTGCAGAGGCCGGGTGATTGACAGTCACCAGCATCACCATTCTGTGTTGAATGTTTACCACATGTTCCGGGTTTTGCTAATCCATCCTGACGGGGGGCAGGGCACGCCGGAGCACATGACGCATTTCTGGCAATTTATTAGCGATGCTGATACTACTGGTTAGAGGGCTGGACTTTGTGTGACAGTTAAGGATCATTGTCCTTATTGCATAAAGAGGAAACCGAGGCCCAGAGGGGGAGCACCTGTGCCTAGGGTCTCGTAACTAAAGAGTGGCAGCGGTAGAGCTCGATCCCAGGTCTCGCTGGCTCCAAAACTGATAGTTCTCCTGGAAGCCATCTGATAGTTTTCCTTAAAACCACAAAGCAATTTACAGAGAAAGTTAAGTTAATTACATCCTGCATAGGGCGGATGGGATGCATTTGGGGTAATGGGAGTGAGATGAAGTACTGGATGGAGGCCAGGGTACCATTGTACTTACTGGGTGCTGACTGTGTATGCCTGAAGGGCCGTGGATTAGGAAGGGGAAGTCACTTGCTCAAAGTCACACAGTGGGATTGGGGTCTCAGGCCTGTTGAATCCAGAACCTGTGCTTTCAGGTGTTATGCCAGCAATTTCTTAAACTTAAATTACTGTCTACCATAAGCATGATGCTGTATCCATATACTTCTTGTAGTGTTATTCCCTTTATGTTTTTTATTTTCATTCTCACCTGAGGATATGTTTTCTCTGATTTTTAGAGAGAGGAAGGGAGAGAAAAAGAGAAACATTGATGTGAGAGAGAAACATTGGTCGCTGCCTCACTCATTACTACGTGTGTCTGGACAGGGGTTGAACCTGAAACCCAGCCATGTGCCCCGAATGGGAATTGAACTGGCAACCTTTTGGTGTATGGGATGATGCTCCAACCAACCGAGCCACTCAGCCAGGGGCTCCTTGTATGTTTTACTTTAAGTTGACCCACTTTTTTTTACTTAGGTAAATTTATTTTAAAAGGAAATTTTACTATAGTTCTATAGCGGGTGAAAAAATGAGAATCTCTTCCCTTAAATATAAGGTAAAAATGTACATCAAGGTGATCCATACAAATCACCATAACTGAGGAGTAGATAAATAAAATGTGGTCTCTCCATACAGTGGATGTTATTTAATAAAAAGGGACAAAGCACTAACCCACACAACAATGTGCGTGAGCCTTGAAAGCATGATGCTCAGTGAAAGAAGTTCATCAAAAAGGCCACGTATTAATATCTTGATTCTGCTTATACGAAATGTCTAGAATAGGCTACTCCATAGAGACAGGAAGTAGCTTCGTGGTTGCTAGAGGCTGAGGGGAGGGGAGAATGGGAATGAGGGTGATGAAAATGTTCTAAAATTGATTGTGGCTATGGTTGCACAACACTGCAAATATTCTAAAAACCATTGAATTATACACTTTAAATGGATGGATTGTATGGCTTGTGAATTCTATCCCACTAAAGCTGCTAAAAACAAACTTGAGAGGCCCCGGTGATCTGTGATCTGCGGGTGATGTCACCGAACAGAGACTTTCTTCTTGATTATTGGAGGGTCGGAGATCATTGGAAAGGGAGTTCTTTAATGCCTGTGTGTGAGGCGCCAGTGGTGGTGTCCCCGCTTTGGAAATCAGTATCTCATGTGGTATTGCTTGGGGAATGCCAGTGAACTCAGTCATTGTGCAAAGGCAGGCGGCTGATACAGGTGTGTGGCCGTGAGACATTTATGCAGCATCTGTAGAGAGTCCTGTCTAAAGGGACTATAGGGGACCCACATCCCTTCACCCTCTTGCCAACAGGAAACAGTCTGTGTAACCCAGTGGCTTCCAGAGAGGAAGGGAGAGAAGCCAATGGAATCCCTCCACCCGGTGCCTGGTGCGCCAGGCTCTGTCTCTGTGCTCATTAGTAATTACCGATACAGCCGTCATTTACTACCGTGTGTATTCATGTCCTAGGGCCGCCATAACAAATGGCCACAAACTGGGTGGCTTCAAATAAGATAGTCACTGTCTCACAGCTGTGGAGGTTAGACATGAAGCCCAAAGTCAAGGTGAAGGCAGGGTCAGAAGGATAGGCCATTCGATGCCTCTCCTAGTTCCTGGAGGCTGTCAGTCATCCTTGGATTGTAGCTGTTTTACTCCTTTCTCTGCCCTCTACCTTCACCTGGCCTTTTCTCCGTGTCCCAGATGTCTCTCTCCTTTCTCTGTTACACATACTCGGTACTGGATTTAGGGCCCACCCCAAATCTAGGGTGATCTCAGAGACCCTTCACTTAATTCCGTCTGCAAAAATCCATTTTCCAAATAAGGTCACATCCCCAGATTCTGGGGTTAGGATTTGGACATATCTTTTGGGGGCCGCTGTTCAACCCACTTTGCATGTTCCTGGCACTGTGCTAAGCAATTCCCATGATAGTTGGGCGGGGTGAGTACCTTCGTTCCCATTTAATAACCAAGGAAGCTGAGACTGAAGGAGGTAAAGGTCTTAGCCAAGGCACCCAGGTTGTTTGTTGCAGAATTGAGATCACATCAAAGGCTGTCCGACTGCAGAATCCCTCCCCTACATCATCATCGGTGTGTAACCCGTTTCACTGCTTCTGTACATCATGCTCTGACTTACATAGGAAAAGACTAAAATGTTGAAAGAGATGTATTGTTTCAAATAGGAAATACAGCTCCATGGTCAAAATTCAAAGGCTACCAAAGGATGTAAAATGAAAAGTCTCTCTCCCTCCCCTGTCCCCAGCCCCCCACTTCCTGCCCCTCATGGGCCCTTGGTGATATCAGTGTGTCCTTTGAAAGCCCTCTTAGATCTTTTTTACATTCAGCAGAATCCAAGTTCGGCCACAGCTGGATGCGTTTGGGGCTTTCACTCCCTTTCAGCTTCCAAGGCTGTGGCCAGATGTCAGCTGCCTGGAGGAGGAGGGTTTGGAGGAGCAAAGGAGGCTGGCCTTGGGGCTCATGCTCAAAGGAGTCATTAGTTTAATCTGCACAGTCTAACTTCAAAAAGGGAGAATGATTCACGCAGTGCTTGTGTTTTTTAAAAATTAATTAAGAAAAACCAACAAGGCCGCTGAAACTGGTTTGGCTCAGTGGATAGAGCATCGGTCTGCGGACGGAAAGGTCCCAGGTTCGATTCCGGTCAAGGGCATGTACCTTGTTTGCGGGCACATCCCCAGTAGGGACTGCGCAGGAGGCAGCTGATAGATGTTTCTCTCTCATCGGTTTTCTAACTATCTGTCTCTCTCCCTTCCTCTCTGTAATAAATCAATAAAATATATTTTAAAAATAAATAAAATAAAAAAAACAGGGCTCACTGTAGAGGGTACTTGTGAGAGGATGTGGGTCACATACGGAGTCTGTGCCAAGTGGTCCACAGGTGTCGCCTTCATTATGACTGCGAAGGAATTCTGGGAAAGAGGTCTGGAGGGCTTCAGACCTGTGCGACTTCAATCTTTTTTTTTTTTTTTTTTTTTTTTTTTTAATGTTTTTGTTGGTTTTTCAGAGATACAGACATTAATGATGTGCCCTGACCGGGAATCAAACCGTGATCTTCCTGGTTCATGGATCCATGCCTAATGCTCAATCACTGAGCCACACCGGGCAGGTCTGTGCGGTTTTTTAAATCCACATTTCTTTTTTTTTCTTTTTTTTTCTTTTTTTAAATATATTTTATTGATTTTGTACAGAGAGGAAGGGAGAGAGAGAGTTAGAAACATCGAAGAGAGTCATCAATTAGCTGCCTCTTGCACACCCCCTACTGGGGATGTGCCCGCAACCAAAGTACATGCCCTTGACCGGAATTGAACCCGGGTCCTTCAGTCCCCAAGCCGACACTCTATCCATTGAGCCAAACCGGTCTCGGCTAATCCACATTTCTTTTCTGCAGCTAAAAGGCGTTGGGATGGATGAGCCGCTGGTGGACTGCGAGGGCTACCCCCGTTCAGACGTGGACCTGTATCAAGTTCGAACTGCCAGGCACAACATCGCCTGTGAGTGACCCGCGGGCCCCACCTTGCAGAGGGCGACAGTAAAGCACACAAATGAAATCACCAGCTTCCCACGTTATCTGCCTCCCTCTCTGCCGCCGCGACAGGGTTATCTCATTGTCTCCACGGAGGAATGAGAGCTCAGGGAATGGGTCAAACTCAGGGTTCTGTATTTCTAGCTTCCTTTTGTTTTTAAGAGCTTTACTTCATTCTGGAAACTTCATTGAAATAACAATAGAAACCCAGGTCAGATATCGCTGACGATCCTAATCACATCAATTATGTGTTAGGAATTATGTTTCGCTGTTGATGATAGTGACCCAGAACGGAGGGAGAGCAGTGGTGGGGCAGTGCATTAGTTTTCTGTTTCTCGTATAACTTAGTGGCCTAGAACGTCACTGACTTGTTCTCTCACAGCTCTGGAGGTGAGACCTCCACGTGGGTCTCACTGGGCTAAGATAAGGTGCTGGGCAGGGCGTGCTCCTCCCGGAGGGTCCGGGGGCGAGCTGGTTCCTCGTCTTTCCCAGGTCCTAGAGGCCGCCCGCATCCCTTGTTTTGTGGCTCCTTCCATCTTCACAGCTGACAGTCAAACCCCCGCAACTCTGATTCTGTCACATCGCTTTCTTTCATTCTGCCTCCCTCCTTCACTTAAAAAGACCCTTGATGGCCTTGCCAGTGGTTCCCAACCTTTTTTTTGGCCATCCCCACCTGAGCATCTCTAAAATCCCCTTGACATAGAATTCTTACTATTCAAAAAGTGAACTCCTGTTCACGTGGAGGAGGCCTAAAAGCCCATTAGCTCCCAAAGAACATGGCATCCGTGAAAAGAGAAATAAAAGGAGGAAAGGACAGTTGAAGTACTGAGGAAGACATTACTAAGAAGTTGTTAAAAAAATAGTAATATGAAGTGATATGAAAAAATAGCAAATAAAGTTTGAAAACATATAATAGAGAACTGAAATGCATAAATATGTCACTATATATACTGTATCCGAGACTCCTAGGACCATAATAAATACAAAAATTCACTGTTAATAACTCATTCTCGAATTGCCCCCCTTAAAAATCAAATTGCCCCCTTGTGGGCATGTGCCCCACGCTGGGAAACACTGCCTTGGGCCCACCCCCTCGATAATCCAGGATAACCTCATTCTCAGGGTCATGAACTTAATCACATCGACAAAGTCCCTGTTGCCACGTGAAGCAGCACAGTCACAGGTCCCGTGGCCGTCTTTGCGGGGCCCTTGTTCACACTGCCACAGGCGGGAGGCCAGTGGTCTACCACCAGGTCATAGAAGGAGGGAATTATCGCCCTGACTGGTGTGGCTCGGTGGGCTGGGCATCATCCCTTGCACAGAGAGGTTGCCAGTTTGATTCCCGGTCAGGGTGCATGCCCAGGTTGTGGGTTCGGTCCCTGGTCAGGGTGTGTAGCTAAGATACCTGATCGATATTTCTCTCACATTAATGTTTCTCTCTCCTCTCTCTCAAATCAATAAAAACCATTTTAAGAAAAGGAAGGGAATTATTGTCCACATTTTCTGCTTCCTGACTCTGTTACCTGAATCATGACTCCACCTGAGTGTGTTCCAGCGTAAGGCCGGGCCTGTAGGAAGCTCGCTGAGTACTCAGTGAGTGATGAGGGAGTCTGTGTCCTCGGCCCTGACCCGGTTTCCTCCTCCCAGGCTTGCAGAACGACCACAAGGCGGTGATGAAGCAGGTGGAGGAGGCCCTGCACCAGCTGCATGCTCGGGACAAGGAGAAGCAGGCCCGGGACATGGCCGAGGCCCAGGAAGAGGCAACGAGCCAAAGCCTGGGCCAGAGCGAGGGCCCCAGCCCCCCGCAGGCCTTTGCCAAAGTGAACAGCATCAGCCCCGGCTCCCCCGCGAGCATGGCGGTAAGCCAGGGCCCGCCACACCGAGGCTCGGTTCCGTCCACCACTGCATCCACGCATTTGGCACAGGGCTGTCGGTGGCCCATAGCAAACATATATATATATATATATATATATATATATATATATATATATATTTTTTTTTTTTTTTTTTTTTTTTTTAAATATATTTTATTGATTTTTTTACAGAGAGGAAGGGAGAGGGCGAGAGAGTTAGAAACGTCGATGAGAGAGAAACATCGACCAGCTGCCTCCTGCACACCCCGCAACCAATGTACATGCCCTTGACCGGAATCGAACCTGGGACCTTTCAGTCCACAGACCGATGCTCTACCACTTAGCCAAACCGGTTTCGGCGCAAACATAATTTTTTAAATATATTTTTATTGATTTCAGAGAGGAAGGGAGAGGGAGAGAGAAACAATGGTGAGAGAGAAGCGTTGATCGGCTGCCTCCTGCACGCCCTCCCACTGGGGACCGAGCCCACATCCCAGGCATATGCCCTTGACTAGACTTGAACTAGGACCCCTCAGTCTGCAGGCCAACACTTTATCCACTGAGCCAAACTGGCTAGGATAGTGGTCAGCAAAGTCATTAGTCAACAGAGCCAAATATCAACAGTACAACGATTGAAATTTCTTTAGAGAGCCAAAATTAAAAAAATATATATTTTATTGATTTTTTACAGGGAGGAAGGGAGAGGAATAGAGTTAGAAACATTGATGAGAGAGAAACATTGATCAGCTGCCTTCTGCACACCTCCTACTGGGAATGTGCCCGCAACCAAGGGACATGCCCTTGACCAGGAATCAAACCTGGGACCCTTCAGTCCGCAGGCTGATGCTCTGTCCACTGAGCTAAACCGGTTAGAGCGAGAGAGCCAAATTTTTAAAACTTAAACTTTTTCTAATGCTACTTCTTGAAAATAGACTCTCCCAGGCCGTGGTATTTTGTGGAAAAGCCATACTCAAGGGGCCATAGAGCCGCATGAGGCTCATGAGCTGCAGTTTGCCGACCGCTGGGCTAGGACAACACAGCAAATGCTTGTTGAAGGGATGAGTGCATCCCCATCTGTATTCTTAGAATAAAAAGATCACCCTAGGGCCTGTGGCCAGCTTTGTGCCTGTACCTGCTCATTATCTAAGTTCTGATCCCTGAACAAAAGAGGTCCAGACTGTCCCTCGTCGGTCTGCCCCGAACCTGGGTCGGGACCCCAGAGGGCAGCAGTTGGCTTTCCCCCTCATATCTCAAGGCCTCCACAACCGCCAGTTTTTATCAGACATGGGGCAGACCTGGCCACCTTCTACCTCATCTGCCCTAGAAGGACCCCCCCGGAGGAGGTGCCCAATTATCTGCCTTCTGCATGCATGACCTCTTCCCTTTGGGCCGGTCCTTGTGTTCTATAGAAACGCTCTTGGCCTTGACATTGAGTTTGGTGTGGAAGGGTAAAGAACACCAGAAGCACACCTAACCTTTAGCCTGCTTTTCCATCTCTTCTCTCTTTAGGGTCTGCAAGTGGATGATGAGATTGTGGAGTTTGGCTCCGTAAACACCCAGAACTTCCAGTCGCTGCAGAACATTGGCACCGTGGTGCAGCACAGCGAGGGGGTGAGTTGGGGGTTACGTGGCATTTGGTCAGGAACCCTAGAATTGCCGGAATCATAATACTTATCCTTTGTGACTGGTGTACTGCACTTAGCATAATGTCTTTGTGGTCCTTCAGTGTTGTTATATATGTCAGATTTTTCTTCCTTTTTAAGGGCTGCTTTTTTCACTCTGTTGATAGTATCCTTTGATACACAAAAATTTTAAATTTTGATGCATCTTGCTTTAATTTTTATTAAAATAGTACATATAGCCCAGCTGGTGTGGCTCAGTTGGTTGAGTCACATGCACCAAGGGGCCGCCGGTTCAGTTTCCTGGTCAGGGCACGTTCCTGGGTTATGGGATCCATCCCTGATCAGGGGCATGTGGGAGGCAGCTGGTTGATGTTTTGCTCCCACATTGATGTTTCTCTCTCCCATTGATGTTTCTCTCTCCTCCTTTCCTCTCTTTCTAAAATTAATAAAAGGATATTTATGCCGAAACCGGTTTGGCTCAATGGATAGAGCGTCGGCTTGGGGACTGAAGGGTCCCGGGTTTGATTCCGGTCAAGGGCATGTACCTTGGTTGCGGGCATATCCCCAGTAGGGGGTGTGCAAGAGGCGGCTGATCGATGACTCTCTCTCATCGATGTTTTTAACTCTCTATCTCTCTCCCTTCCTCTCTGTACAAAATCAATAAAATATATTTAAAAAAATAAAAATAAAAATAAAATTAATAAGAGGATATTTTAAAAAATATTAATACATACACATCTTTAAAAAGTTAATGGTATAGAAAGATATAAAAGTAAATGTTGTTTTCTCTAATTTCATTCTCTCTGGGAAGTAACACTGTTCAGTGTTTTGGTATATCTTCCAGAAAACTTTGTGTGCACCAAGCAATAGATATGTTCTTTTAGAAAAGGTATTCAAATGGGTTCATCCTTAGTTGGCTTTGCTTTGTATTTTTTTTTTTTTTTTAACTAATGATCTCCAAACTCTTTTTTTAACATATTTTATTGATTTTGTACAGAGAGGAAGGGAGAGAGATAGAGAGTTAGAAACATCGATGAGAGAGAGTCATCGATCAGCCGCCTCTTGCACACCCCCTACTGGGGATATGCCCGCAACCAAGGTACATGCCTTTGACCGGAATTGAACCCGGGACCCTTCAGTCCCCAAGCCGAAGCTCTATCCATTGAGCCAAACAGGTTTCGGCTGCTTTGTATTCTTTAAAAAAAAATTTTTTTTTTTCAGATAATTGTGCATCTTTGTTTTGTTTTTTGTTTGAAATATATTTTATTGATTTTTTACAGAGAAGAAGGATGAGGGATAGAGAACTAGAAACATTAATGAGAAACATCAACCAGCTGCCTCCTGCACAGCCCCCACCAGGGATATGCCCACAACCAATGTACATGCCCTTGACTGGAATCGAACCTGGGACCCTTCAGTCTGCAGGTGGACGCTCTGTTCACTGATAGAGCATCTCAGCATTTTAGCCTGGATTTCTTTGAGTGCTAAGGAGGTTGAACATAAATGAGCTCATTTTCCTTTCAGAAGCCCCTGAATGTGACAGTGATCCGCAGAGGGGAGAAGCACCGGCTCAGACTTGTCCCAACACGCTGGGCAGGGAAAGGACTGCTGGGGTAAATGCCTGTTTTGGTTCCTTCGCACACAGTGCCCATTGCATGTTTGTTAGACATAAAGCTGGGGGGAGGGGGTGGGAAATGATGGGAATCCCCAGGGGACCTGTAGAACTGATATGAATACTTGAGACAGGAAGAAGTCTATAGACGCAGAGGTGGAGGGAGCCCTGGTCTCTCTGGGCGTTTGCTTTACAGGACTAAGAATGTGATTGAAAAACTCGGGAGGGCTCACCTCCTGATCTCTCCGAATGGAGCCGTCAAACTGATGCTGTTTCTTTTCTTTTTTTTCTTCCAGCTGCAATATCATTCCTTTGCAAAGTTGATTGTCCCTGAGGACCAGTATCAGGAAAGCATCTTCTGTGGCCCTAGACTTGTGTCTAGGGGTGGATTTCTCCCTTCTCTTCTCTCCCTGGAGTTCAGGGTCTGGAAGCCTGAACTTCTGGGTGGGAGAAACGCCATGACCTCCGAGTGCAATCTCTTGGGATTAAGGCATTGTTCAGAACTTGATATGTGCTTAGCATCTTTCTGAGTTAGACCATGGCCCCAACTGGGAATCTCTGATGGCAAGAGGGTGGGAGTTATTCCAACAGGTGCTGTCATGACTTTATTCTTTTAGGAATTATTTTCTCCAAATAAACCGTTTTGTAGTACTGATATGAGCATGTGATCACTCCAACTAAACTCCTTGTGGCCCTCTCAGACCAAAGCTCAGAACATCCTCACAGGAAGTTGGGCCCTGGCCGGTGGCTCAGTTAGTTGGAGCGTTGAACTAATGTGCCAGGGTTGTGGGCTCGGTCCCTGGTCAGGGCCCATGCAGGGGTCATCTGATGAGTACATTATTAAGTGGAACAATGGAACGATATTTCTCTCTATCCTCTATAAGATAAAAGGAAGGAAGGAAGGAAGGAAGGAAGGAAGGAAGGAAGGAAGGAAGGAAGGAAGGAAGGGAAAGAAAGAAAACAATAATTGTATCAAAGTCAAATTTGACCATAATATTTCAGGAACATCCTTCTCTATGACATGGGGTTTCCAGACACCAGCTGCCTGTCTTCCTTTGCAGTGCGGTTTACTGCCCTAGATACAGAAATCTTGTCTTCAGCACTTGGACCTCCAGAGCCACAGCTGCTCCCTTTAAGAATATGGCATGCAAATTCGTGAAGCAATCCATATTTTTATAACTTAAAAAAAAAAAAGGAAAAGATAAGCTGAAACCGGTTTGGCTCAGTGGCTAGAGCGTCGGTCTGCGGACGAAGGGTCCCAGGTTCAATTCCCGTCAAGGGCATGTGCATTGGTTGTGGGCACATCCCCAGTGGGGGGTGTGTAGGAGGCAGCTAGCCCATGTTTCTCTCTCATCGATGTTTCTGGCTCTCTGTCCCTCTCCCTTCCTCTCTGTAAAAAAAAAATCAATGAAACAGATTTAAAGAAAAAAAAAGATAAGCCGGGAGGCTCCCCAGGCAGCCCCGTAAGTGTCTGCTCTCTCATCCATAATCCACCAGAGGGCAGCAAGCTCCCTTCACTTCTAGAATAAAAATGCCTGCAGATTAGCTTCTAATTTGGCTTTTTCTCATTGAACTTCCTTGCCAAGCCCTCAGCTCAGCACTATTTTATAAACTGCTAAGGTGTGCTTGACGCTGATGGGAACAGCAGTGTGTACGGATCCGACCGCTTGAAAATGCCGAGTCCTCTTGTTTTCTCTCTAACACGGCAAAATGGGTTTCAGGGATTCCTAGGGACTCTAGTCTTTCTTTCTCTCTTCACTGTATTCATCCCCACCGTTTGTGTAGGCCCCTCTTTCAGAGATCTGGCACATTCTGCTGGGGTATGTGTGTCTCAGGATGGATTTGCTTGGGTTGGATACAGGTACCAGCTTGCCCTGACGGGAGTTGGTATTGGCCTGTGCTTCCTGCCATGGGTTCTCACATTCTAACTGGAAAGCCTTCCTGTGGAGGGTCTTCCCCAAACTGTTACTTCAGCCCTGCCTCCACATGTATTCCCCGCCCAAGTGTTTTCAACCTTTTTTTTTTTTTTTTTTTTTTTTAATTCCTAGACTTTTAATCAACACAGCTTCTCCCATCCAGGCATGGGTGAGGGAGTGGGGAGGATCATTCGCATTCTCCTAAAGTGCTAGCAGCAGAGTCTTCTTTTTTTTTTTTTTTTTTAATATTTTATTGGTTTTGTACAGAAAGAGAGAGAGATAGAGAGTTAGAAACATCAATGAGAGAGAGTTATCAATCAGCTGCCTCTCGCATACCCCCCACCAGGGACATGCCCACAACCAAGGTACATGCCCTTGACCGGAATTGAACCCGGGTCCCTTCAGTCCCCAAGCCGACGCTCTATCCATTGAGCCAAGCCGGTCTCGGCAGCAGAGTCTTCTGCATCGTACCTTTGGCTGGTTTCTTGCAGGTCTTTCTTTGGGAACCTCAGGAAGGCCAGGTGTGTCCTTGTCATGAGATTCTAGGGGAGGGCCACTAGGAGGTAGAATGATCCTAATTTTTAAATATTTTTTTTTTATTAATTTGAGAGAGGAAGGGAGAGAAACATCAGTGATGAGAGAGAATCATTCATTGGTTGCCTCCTGCACCCCCATCCTGGGGATGGAGCCTGCAACCCAGGGATGTGCCCTGACCCAGAATCCAGCCGTGACCTCCTGGTTCATAGGTCCATGTTCAACCACTGCCACATTGGCCAGGCGATCCTAATAGATTCAACCAAACTGGATTTGCAGAAACGTTTTGTGATAAGAACAGCAAGATAACGTAACCTCTGCCATACTCTCCGCTAGCTGAAACTCGGAACACTTTGCCCCGGTGAGAAGGTGTGGAAGACACCTAGGTGCAGCATCCGCGAGGCCGGGAAATTGAGTCTGCTTTTGGAAAAGAGAATTTTATCAGAACATTTCATACTTCACTTAATCTTGTTAAACCTTCAGAAAGTCAAAACTGCTAGTGTTCGCCGCTGCAGTTTCTCAGGGGATGGCGCCGTGGGAAAAGTGGACGGAAAGAAAGACCAGAAAAGCCAATTTCGTGTCCCCCCCCCACCCCCCCCCCCGCGGTGGCACCTTTCCGGGGAGACCGGCAGGGGGCGCGCACGGGCCGGCTCGCGGCTGCTTCCTGGGCACGTGACCACCGTACGGCCCTTTCGCTTTACGGCACGTCGCCTGCCGCGGCGGTGGTTACCATGGGGATAGGGCTTGGGTGGCAACCGTAACTAGGGAGCCGGCGTTGGGGAAAGCGGCTGAGGAGTCCGAGCGGCCGGACGACCCCGGGCTTGTGAGCACCGGGCTGGGCGCGCTCTGTGAGTCCGGGTCGCAGGCCACGCGGTCGGCGAAGGGGTGCCCAGCGAAGCAGGCCTCGGGGCCTCGGGGGTGCTCCCCCCGCAGACCGCACACCGGCGCTTCCCGCCCGCTCCTGCCCCCCGCCCTCGCCCCGCATCAGATTCACCGGCCGAGTTTGGCATCAGAGGCGGCTCTGTGCCAAGGGCCCTAGACTTCATATCAGTAATGTTTCAGGTGGAGGAGCAGAGCGGGAGGAGGGTGAGGGTTAGGGTTAGGGTTAGCTGTGTGAATAAGTCACGTCGACTCCCAGAGCCGCAAATTATCAAGTTTGTGTAGGGAATAAATGAGAGGGAAAAAGGCTTTTTTAAACAGTTGCTACCATTTCTCAAGCACAACTGTGTTGAGCATTTTAAATATATATATATATTATTGATATTTTTCAGAGAGGAAGGGAGAGGGATAGAGAGCTAGAAACATCGATGAGAGAGAAACATCGATCAGTTGCCTCTTGCACACCCCCGACCTTGACCGGAATCGAACCTGGGACCTTTCAGTCCGCAGGTAGACGCTCTATCCACTGAACCAAACTGGTTTCGGCTGTGTTGAGCATTTTATCAATATCATATAATCTTCACAATAAGTCCAGAATTATTTTTTTTAAGTATTTTTATTTCAGAGAGGAGGGGAGAGGAAGAGACAAATATCAATGATGAGGGAGAATCATTGATTGGCTGCCTTCTGCACGCCCCCTATTAGGGATTGAGCACACAACCTGGATATGTGCCCTTGACCAGAATCGAACCAGGGACCCTTCAGTCCACAGGCCCCATGCTGTATCCACTGAGCCAAATCAGCTAGGGCGGGGGTTATTTTTATTTTGCCGGTGAGCAAATGTAGACCCTGAGGTCTTGCCCAAGGTCACAGAGCAAGTGAGCGGGCCAGGGGGAGGGAAGGGAACTGGGGGGGGGGGGAGGGAAGGGAACTGGGGTGCCGGGAGAGGCTGGCTGCAGAGCCTGTGCTATACGTATATATTTCAGAGAGGAAGGGAGAGGGAGAGAGAGAAACATAAATGATGAGAGAGAGTCATTGATCAGTTGCCTCCTGCACGCCCCACACTGGGGATCAAGCCCGCCATCCAGGCATGTGCCTGGACTGAAATTAAATCGTGACCTCCTGGTTTCTAGGTCAACACTTAACCAGTGAGCCACACAGGCTGGGCACAGCCTGTGCTCGCTTGCTTATTTATTTATTTATTTATTTTTGAGCGGAAATGAAGGTTTATTACAGAAAAGCTCCCTGCTATAGGGAGGAGGCCCAAGCAGGTTGCCCGAGCCTGTGCTTTTAACCACAAAGCTACACTGCTTCTCAGTCATTATTGGAATTGTCAGCAATGCCTGGGTTACGCATGTTGCTGCCTGTTGGAGTATCTTTAACACGAGTTAGAGAGCTCTGAAGTTATTCCTAGAAAGATGAGAGGCCCTGGGATCCATACTGTCCAGATTTGGGACATTCTTTTTATTCCCGTGGGAAGGAGCCAGAGCCGGTATTGCACATTTTAACGGTAGATGAGGTCACCAAGGAATGAAAATGGGAAACAGAGGGTCCTGCTGATTATTACTGTCAAATTTCTCTAGAGGAAACGCCAGTGAGAACAATGTCAGATGCAAAGAGAAACCCACCAGAAGAAGCGGAAGATGGAGAAACAGAAATGAAAGAAGAAAGATATCCAGATTATGAAGACCTAACACCAGGGAGAGAGACTCAGGATGAGAAAGAGGCGGTGGATGAGGAAGGGGATGGACAGCTGGAGGACGAGGAGGAGGAGGAGGAGGAGGAGGAAGAGGAGGAGGAGGAGGAGGAAGAAGAGGAAGAGGAAGGGGAAGGACAGCTGGAGGAGGAGGAAGGGGAAGGACAGCTGGAGGAGGAGGAAGGAGAAGAAAAGGGTGGAGCAGGACTGGATGAGGTGGCTGCACGGTTCCAGGAAGAACTCACCAAGGAGCCCCAACAAATCGCCATGTCCGTGAGCAGTTTGCAGGGACGCCCATT